AAGCAACTCCTGAAAGCAATGTGGACAAGATCCTTATTTTACTCACTATTCTCTGTGGCTAAAATACAGTTTCTTACAAATAGTAGACCTTAAAAATATCTGATAAATGAATTAAAAAGTTGGTCATTATTTAATGTATGTATCTTGCTCAGATAAATTTATTTTTCCTACTTCCCTTCTCATCTCTTATTCTACATGTTTTAATGTGGGTAATTTTTTAAATCATTTTCCTCTTATTTGATTATGTTTCTATTTATTGCCTTTCTCCCATCATTTCTTCTTTTTCATTTTTTACATGGAGGGCAACATTTAAAAATGTTTATTATAGTTTTTTTTGCAGTTTATGTCAAAATAAACAAGTGATTAAAAATAAAACACTGATATTAGCCATTACAGGCCTGTATTAAAGTATCTCATGTAACCTATACAAATATGCACCTACTATGTACCCACAAAAATTTTTTTAAAAAACTAAACAATTGTTTATTACAAAGTTTATTGCATCTGAACTGATTTTTCTCTATGAGATTAGTGGATTTCAACAGAGAGAAAAAAAACTAGTGTAACTAACCACAAAAATATTAATGTTTTAGATAAAGAATTAGGATTCACTTGTCAAATAAGAGAAATCTTCAGAAAATTGTAGTAAATGGTAATTTGGAGTCCAACAGGTTATTTGGTATGAATTGTACAGAGTAAGGTAGTAAAAGTACAAACCTGGGGCAAATGCTGAGGAAAGAATAAATTTAGAAGGTAGAAACCTTGGTGTGGTACCGAATTGGTACTGATCTCAGGTGGGCAAAGGAGTCCAAGATAACTCCAAATTGGTTGTTTTGACCATTTTAGTATTGTACAAATTCTTATAGCTTGATGAATTATAAGATCATCTCCACGGCCTGTTAGGGGTGCAAAATGAAAGACATAAACATCTGGCAGTCCATTGATCCTACGTGTCTATAATAAGACACAAGTTCATAAAGAAAAGCAGAAGCCAGCGTTTGAAAGAGACAGTTAAGATGAAAAACTGCTCATCTTTGGTTCATTACTATTTTATATATGTAACTGAACTAATCACACATTTTTCTTCTTGTTGCTGTCCATTTTTGAAGTTAGTATGGAAAAAAACTAATATACTTCATATTTAAGTAGTGGCCCAAAGATATTCTAGCAACTATATGTTTAAGTATTGCTTTCTAAAAATAGTCTTCCTATAGCCCCATCTAGCATCTGGGCTTTAACTTGGATTTAAAAGTTATGAACTAATAAATAAGGCTCAGCACATTCGACATCTCACCTTTAAGTGAGATGCTTATGGAATGATTGATTTCATATAAGAAGAATTTGGTATACTCTGTGTGAAAAAATTCTAAAAATTATAAAGTAATCTGCAATGCTTTTTAAAAATATTTTGTAACCTATGACTTGAGAAAAATGTTTAGGGATTTAAAAACAAAGATAAGACAACCATCACTTGTGCTGGACAAAAATTACTATTGACATGCCACAACCTAATTATTCTCTCTGTCTCTTTTTTATGCTGTGTATGACTGGGCCAGCACAATAGCACTATTATATTTTCTTGAAGGTGAAGACAGGATCTTATTAAAATTTTGTCTTTATAACAGACCTTGTTAAGTAACATGGTCACTTCATGAATAAGTATTGATATTGATGATATGTATATTTTTGTTATGTCCATAGAAGATCTGAACATTAAATTGTCCCCCAGACACACTGAACAGCATATTCATAGCAACCAGGTTTCATTAGAGATGCTACTTACTTTTTGGGATGAGTCTTTTTTCATTGAAAACACCAGAATTCTTTTCTCTAAGGCAAAACACTCTGCTGTAGGGACTATTAGACTGCAGAGAGGAATCTATAGCATTATTCACTTTCAACAATTACTTGTGACATGCACTAACTAATCACTCTTTGGAAAACCATTTCTTATTTATGTTTGTTTTGCCATAATCGATGCCTTGCATTCAAGATATTTATGTAAACTCTAAGTCACTGTATTTTAATTTCATATGGTCTGAAATGATATCAAACTTTTAGGATTATGCTTTATATTTCTCATCCACCAGGTCTGCCAATAATCTGTTGTCTTGAAAATGCTTGTTCTATAATTTCCTGATACTTTGGGGCCTTTTGAAACTGCTTAAGACACATGAGTCCAGACAGTGTACCTGTTCTATGAGATCCCTATAATTTTTTTTTAACATACACGAGCTACATTTCAATATGTAATGTTCTGAGCAGGTAGTTAGTCCATGGTTGATATTACCACAAGTCATTAGACAAGGTCTTAAAATGAAAGCAGAAAGTGAGCCAGTAGCATGGACTATGAGGATCCTATAGTTGTAAGGGACTTTGACATTATCTAATCCAACCACTCATTTTCCAGGGGAGAGAACAGTGTGAACTAAGGTTGTTCAAAGTTACCTACTGGTTAAAGGTCTTTTTTTTTTCTGACCTTTGTGGCAAAGTCTCCCTCTTTAGCCTAGGCTGGAGTGCAGTGGTGCAATCTCGATTCACCACAACCTCTGCCTCCAGGATTCAAGTGATTCTCCTGCCTCAGCCTCCTGAGTAGCTGGGATTACAGGTACCAGCTGCCACTAATTTTTGTATTTTTAGTAGAGGCGATGTTTGACCATTTGGCTAGGCTGGTATCAAACTCCCAACCTCAAGTGATCCATCCATCTCAGCCTTCCAAGTGCTAGGATTACAGATGTGAGACACCACACCTGGCAGAAGGTCTTATGGAGACTAAAATTCAGGCATTCTAACTCACAGACTGATAGCTAACACATTCTGTAAGTGACCCTAACATATCATGAATATTGAACTGTTCAGTAACAATCAACTGAAATACTGTAATAATCATCGTTAGTTTTTGAATGAAATATATGCACCACAGTTCAAGTTCTCAGGTACCATCACATATTAAGTTTCACACTATTTAAAACATGTATTTTAAAACTTTAAAGTAGAAATAACACTTTTTTAATTGAAAAAAGTTACTGAAAAATATAGATGAAAAAAACCTGATATTTGTTGACACCTCAAAAACAGTCTACATATGTTACAGTAGTACATTTAGCTATTTTATGCATTTGGTTTCTTGCATAGTTTCCAAAACATTCTAGAAGACAGCAATACTTTAAATGGAGTCAGCTGGAGTTTTAAAAAGTATTTTAAGAAAACCATCAATTATATGTGTCTTCTTTTGTCCTCCTGCATACCCAAGAGATCTGATTGGTTAATATTCATCTCTGCTTAGGCATTATAAAGAAAAGATTCAAAACTACTGTAATATCAACTCAATTAATCCATCAAAACTGCAGAGGAATGTTCTTTTCACACCCTCCAACATTTTGTTTCTCCTTAGTCACAGGAGATAACTGTTCCCTTGGAGCAAGCCATCTGTGAGACTTGCTAAGTTTTGGTTAAAATGGTCATTTGTGGCTCTGTCTGAATAATGAGGCTCTTCCTTTTCAAAAGAAGCTGCTTTTCTCCTGGGAGAATTGTCTGTGGTGTTCTGGGAGGGACAGACGCAGACATTTTTCTCTTTATTCTCCAACAACACCCAGTATCTACTCCCTACTAACTGATCCTAGAGTGGAAGGTGAACAGCTGTCCAGGGACACGGGTAATCTTGTTGGAATTAATGGTCAGCCTGAATTTAGCCACTACTGTGTAGTAGTTCTGCAGCGTAGTATTATGTTCCCTGAAGGGAAGGCCTAGGAAGGAAGCCTTAAGCTACTCGATGCTGCTTCTTAACCGGTCTTTAATGGTACTTCATAGCTTTTAAAGTGCTTTCCTACGACATTATTTAGTTGCAAAGACTGGGGGAAGTGACATAGGAGGCAAAGCTCTAAGATGATCCCCACGATTTCCACTGGCTGGAGTGATTCCCTGAATAATCTCCTTGCAGTGAGTTTGGGGAGGACCTATGGATATGACCAGACAGTCACTTCTATGTTTACAGTTAACCTATCTTAGACTCCATCTGAGCAGACTTGAGAGAGAGATTCTTCTCTTGACCATGAAGAAGCAAATATCTAGTTGGGCGCGGTGGCTCACGCCTATAATCCCAGCACTTTGGGAGGCCAAGGCGGATGTATCACGAGGTTAAGAGATAGAGACCCTCCTGGTCAATGAAACCCCCTCTATACTAAAAATACAAAAATTAGCTGGGCATGGTGGTGCACGCCTGTAGTCCCAGCTACTCAGGAGGCTGAGGCAGGAGAATTGCTTGAACCCAGGAGGCGGAGGTTGCGGTGAGCCGAGAGTGTGCCATTGCACTCCAGTCTGGGTAACAACAGCGAAACTCTGTCTCAAAAAAAAAAAAAAAAAAAGAAGCAAATATCTGTGCTGTGAAAGAGACTTGAGCGTGCCATGTGGTAGGGGTGTTGCTGGAGCTGAGAGCAATCCCCAGTGAACAGACAGCAAAACAGCCACCCTAGTCAGCTGCAAGCAAACAAACTCTGCCAAAACTCTGAGTGAACTTGAAAGTGGATTCTTTCCTTTGTGCCTCCAGATAAGAACACTGTCTGGCTGACACCTCGATTGCAATTGTGTGAGACCCTGAGCAGAGAACCCTGCCTTTCTGACCAACAGGACATGCGTTATAATTAATGAGTGTTGTTTTAAGCCACTAAATTTGTGGCAATTTGTTATACAGCAATAAAAAATCAATAAAAAGAAAAAGCAGAGAATATTATGACCATTTCATCGATAAGGAGACTGGTTCAGAAAGATCAAATGATTTGCCTAATTTTATTCTGACAATAAGTGACAGACCTGAGATTGGTACCTTGAATTCTCATCTGTACTCCATCATACCTTGAATTCTCATTTGTACTCCATGATTCTTTCCACAGGACTACAATGCTCCACACTAATGAGAATTATTGGTAAATTTTCCTTACCCCTGCCCACCAACAAGATGGAAAATGGATAATGGATAATATGTTCCTAAAAAGAGCTCGATCCAGAGTAAAACAATCATTTTATTGATTCTTATATCAGCTCTGTAGCATAATTAATACATTAATCAAAATCATATTAAATGTTTAATTGATAGTATTTAAAAAGAATCTTGAATCAAGTGCTAATCCTCATCACTAAATAAACAGTGTTCAGCATAGTCAAGATCTGGAAATGTGATGGGTAATTCAATCCACCTTTTGTATTGTTCCTTTGTAGAACTATTTTTGAAATCCACTACAAAATTTCTTATTAAGAGACAAGGCAAATCTAAGCCTTTGTGGACCATCATTGTTCCCCAAGCCTGGAAAATAAAAGAGAAAACAAGAGGAAAATTAAATGCATATGCAATTAAACATTCCTTTGGGCTAAAGTAAAATCAGGTCCACAACAACTGACTCACCTGGCCACATTTGCAGATAATTTCACCATTGATTTGGTAGTCGGCAAACTTCTTTTGCAGTGCTTTGTTTTCTCTCACAATGTAGAGTTCCCTATAAGTATCAAAGGGGAAGAAAAATCATCACAACTGACAAAATACCAATGGGGTTTTTGTTCATGGGTTGTTGGACCTGAACCTCATCCACATGCATGCGTTATTCTACATGGCATTCCTTCCTTCCCTTCTGCTTCCCAGGCTTGTTATGGCAACTCAGGTAATCTTTCTCTTCTACATATATCTCTCAAAGGGCAAGTTACCTATTGTAACTTCTTTCAAGTTTGTTGGTTATATTAACTTGACTTTAGTTGTTCAGAAATTTGAGAACAAATGATGAGCATACAAAAATACGTGCCTTGGATCAAAATGGCTTTGGTTCGTACACTTCTCCTTTCCTGCTGCAGTGCAGTTTACTTAAAAAATAGACATTTGAAATAGGAATATAATTGAGGGGCTAAAGGATGGAAAGTTGTAAAATCTCAGTTGCACTATTTTGAAAGAACATTTACAATACAACCTGCTTCACCCCTGGTAGAAAAATTTTAAAATGGTTCTTTCTGGACTCACTTGAATGCTGGTGTCACATTGACATGATGCATCTTCTCAATTACATGGATGTCTTCCCCAGAACAGGCTAGGACACTGCAGTTTCTGCAAAGGAGAGTTATTAGTGATGGGTTTTCCTTGTAATGCTTGGCAGTACTTCTCTTGATTTTCATTTTCTTTTCCATTATACTTTGCATCTGTAATTCCAAAATCTGCACAGAGAAAGGAAGAGTTAGTGGTTTTAGGTTTGTTTTCTTTTTTCAGTTTCATAGAAGTAAGTCACTTGAAACTTAAAATACATACTTAGCTCATGGTCTACGAGATAAAAATAATGAGGTAATGATCCCCCAAAGAATTTAGTATACAATCATCTACTGTAACCATGAAAATGTGGAACCTTCAGGTGTTCAAAAAGTAGCCCATTCCATTTCAGAAATTCTATTGTGAGAAAGTCCTTAGCAATACTCAACAAAAATTCTCTGTCTAGCCTACCTATTTATTTTATTTGATTTATTTGTTGATTTATTTATTTAAGATGGAGTCTTGCTCTGTTGCCCAGGCTGGAGTGCAGTCACACTATCTCAGCTCACTGAAACCTCCATCTCCTGGGTGCAAGCAATTCTTCTGCCTCAGCCTCCTGAGTATCTAGGATTACAGTCGCCCGCCACCACACCCAGCTAATTTTCATATTTTTAGTAGAGATGAAGTTGTGCCATGTTGCCTAGGTTGGTCTCAAACTTTTGATCTCAGTGATTCAACTGTCTCAGCCTTTCAAAGTGCTGTGATTACAGGCACAAGCCACTGTGCCCATCCTACCCTTTTGTTTTAATTCTGTTCCATAAAATAGGTCTAAACTTTCTTCCGCATGGAATCTCTTTACTAAACACTGTTATTACATTATGAACATCTTCTCTAATCCATGCTAAGCATCCAAATTCCTTTAATCTTTTTTCATGCTTTATAATTTTCAAACCCTTCACCATCTTAATCAGTCTACTCTTTACACATTTGTGGCAGAAATTGCTAGTTTCGCACTCAGTATCCATTTTTCCTAGGAACAGAACCATAATTTTATTCTGGGTGGAATATGCTAGCTAAATGACTACATTTCCAAACCAGCAGTCAATGACAAGTAAAAAGCTGTTGAGTGGAATTTTCAGAAAATCTTCTTAAAAGTTTGATAGCTGGCATGTGTACTTTTTGTCCTTTCCATTTTCTTCTTACTTCCTGCCTAGAATAAAGATGTGGCAGCTGAAATTCTAAAAGCTATCTTTGACCTTGAGAATGAAAGCCCAATGCTATAATGGCATAAAAGAGAGAGAAAAGGCCTGCATTCCTGCACTTTGGGAGGCCGAGACCAGTAGTTCATGAGGTCAAGAGATCGAGACCATCCTGGCCAACATGGTAAAACCCCTTCTTTACTAAAAATACAAAAATTAGCTGGGTGTAGTGGCACGTGCCTGTAATCCCAGCCATTCAGGAGGCTGAGGCAGGAGAATCACTTGAATCTGGCAGGCGGAGGTTTCAGTGAGCCGAGATAGCACCGCTGCACTCCAGCCTGGCGACAGAGCGAGACTTCATCTCAAAGAGACAAACAAACAAAAACCTGGATTCCTCATAACATCATGGAGCCAACACTGCCTAGATTCCTTATGTGAGAGAATATGTCCATAGACACCTTTATTCTAGGCTCTGTGAGTAGCAGCAGCACTTATTTCATAATAGAAACAATCTAGTTTATTTAACATATGAAACTTGACATAGGGACATAGGGGCTGACAGTGTTTATAACAACCCAACTTTACAGTAAAAAATCTGGTTCTTGAATAATTTACCTCCAAACTGACTTCTCATAGATGATATATTTATATTAAATAATTGTGGAAGTAACTATTTTCTTTAAGACTGAGGGGGAAGTTTTCAGAAAAGTAAGTCATCAGTGCTGATGAACAAAGCCCATCTCTTTGGCTCCCAACTCTACATTTTAGATCTCCCTTCAAGGCAGCCATATATAGCATAGAAAAGAGATTAAACCCTTGCAAGCAAGCTTGGAGTCTATATAATAGATTAACCAGACAAGTACCAAGATTAATTTCCTATGTAATTAATAGCAAAATAATATATTGAAATATTTTTCCCTGGAAGTTTAAATAGGTTACTTTTATAAGACATTTACAGTTCAGTAAGCTGGTAAGGTAATATATCATAGGATCACATACACGTGGGAATTAAGAAATGTGTATAAATGAGACAGAAAAAAAATAAAGTATATAGATTTGTAATCAGAACATAAGAAGTTAAAAAAAAAGCTCTAAAATAGTAAAGGAATTTGAACCAATTAGAGGGGCAAACAAACAAAAAAAGGGCTCATAATAAATACACAGGAGGCACAGCTAAAATCTGCGTAAGTCCAAATAAAGTGCAGAAATGTAGCAAAAGTTGAATCAATGCTAGAGAAAAACATTTATGATTGTCAACTTGCTCCTAGCAGTCTGATTTCATTTTAAGAAGCTCTGTTATGTATAAACCTGTTTATGACATGGAAAAAAAGATTTATCTGTTAATTATCTCCATTCATTGATGGTTGGTTGAAGATTGTGTTGAGAAGGATGCTCAAATCAGAAGAAAGGAGACATCTTCCCAGTAGCAATGTTTTCTACAAGCTTTGAACAGATTACTGGTGGCACGTAGCCTCGCTTTCCTATTGTCACTCCTGCTCTAAGTTCATCTACCTGAAGTAGTTTTAGGAGGGCAAGGTTCTTGGCCAAAGGAGACCTAAAAAGACAGTCCATTCTGCAGCCCCCAAAGGGACATTGTCTTATTCTAAAGAATGTCTGGAAGAGTTTGACCCTTAAACTCCAGAGATTGTCCTAGTGTTGATCCCCAAAAAACTAGTCTTAAAACACTACTCTTTGTAAACATCTATTTGATTCATTCTTTTAGGACATTAACTGGGAGGCAGTAACTTTCCAGTGGCTTAATTTGGTGACAAAAGTTAGAATTGATACTCTAAAATGTTTGCTTTGTCTTGTATTTAACGGGGTTTTAAAATAAAGGTTTGTGTAGAAACCTGGCCAGGAAACCTTGGAGTTGGTAATAGCAGTGCACACCAATTTGAAAGCATCCCTTTAGTGAAACTCTATTTAAGGTAGAGCCAATTCCAATGTTAAGAAACTAACATTCACACCCATATGCAAGGGTGTGAATTTTCTTCTAAATGGATTGTTTGCTATTATAATAGTTACAGTCTTTAATTCAGTGGTATGGGGGATTTCCTGAAATACTATAGAAATACATTCTTTCTTCACTGCATTCTTTTGCACAACTCAAATAACTGTGCGTTAGTAAACTGAGATATAGCTAGGTGACATATTCTGTACTTTCTTATTATTCAGATCCAGCTTCAGTGTCACTCCCTCTAACAGAACTTCCTCAACCACCAAATTGAAAACATCCATCTAGTCACCTGTTTCATATCATCCTATTCTAACTCTCTCATACTTATCTATGTTATACACTTCTTTTTAAAATTTTTGTTTACTGTTTCTCTCCTCCAGACCTCACCAGGAACACACTAGAATATAAACTCCATGTAGCAGGAGTCTTCTGTGTCTTGTTTGCCTCTGTTGGCTGTTCCTATAATGTTGCCTGGCACACAGTAGGCATTTCATTTACATTTCTGAAATTAAAAAGCTGTCCCCGTACAAACGAATTAGATAAAACCAAAATTATCATGTTGGATTGAATCAGTGAGTTGTACTAGTCTTTCTGGAACAAGTCAGCCTAAATTATGTTATCAAAATTTATGGTTGATTTTACTGGAATAAGCAATGGCTGCCTGATAATTTCCAGCCCACCATGGGATCTTGATTCTCTGCATATGAATCTGTATTAAGCACAGTTCATTAAAAAGGAACTTACAATTCAGTACAATTTTTGTCTGGGGAATGAGTCACAAAGGTATCAATGGCAACCACATGTTGCTATCTTTAAATGAAAATCAAATTCAGAAGTGGTCAACAATACCTTATGAGCATACTCCTCTGGTTCCATATTTTGAACATGATGTATAGCTTTATACATCATCTTCTCTCGGAAATCATTAACTGTCTCACGTTCTATAACTCCTGAACTGCTGGAAGCAACCAGGACATAGGTGCTTTCATCAGCTCTGGCTCGACCACGGGCCTGAAAACACAAAGAAATGAAGTGAATGAAAGGGTACGCTCTGATACAAATCCTCCTGGGTTTTTCTTGGAATGGTATTTGCTGCTCAGAATGAAATGATACTGGGTTGTTCAACATGCCAGTCTTCAAATGGATAAAGTTAATAAGCTAGTTATTAACCCATTCCTTGTAAGTCAGCTCTTTGAAACTTAAAATATGCTTTAATACAGAAACAGTGTTCTAGGGTGATGATGGTTAGGCCTCAATGACATCATATCATCCTGTCCAGCCTTTGTGCTCCCAGAGCTTCTTTCTCAAACTATAAGAACCATGCTCATTGACTTGAACTGAGAAGTTGTCTTTCATGGTAGAAAGCTAGGAGGAATGAATGGAGAGAAGGGGTGTCTCTGACCTTTATAGCACGCCTGGTGAGAGGGCAAGTCAGTTTCTAGCACCCTACATTGAATTTTTAGCACATTTTCCCGTGGAAACATATTTAACATGGTGACAACTTTCTATAAGCCTCTTTAGGAAAGTGATATTCAGGTACATTTTGACTAATAGAAACTTCTATGGCCTGGCCCAGAAGCCTAACTACCAACTATAAAATTATACTCAAGGAAAAATGCATTCTAAGTTTTTGGTTTGTTGGTTTTTGTTTTTGTTTTTTTGAGACGGAGTCTCACTCTGTCACCAGGCTGGAGTGCAGTGGCATGATCTCACCTCCACCTCCAGGGTTCAAGCGATTCTCCTGCCTCAGCCTTAGTAGCTGGGACTACAGGTGTGCACCACCACACCCAGCTAATTTTTTCATTTTTAGTAGAGACGGGGTTTCACCACATTGGCCATGATGATCTTGATCTCTTGACCTCGTGATCTACTTGCTTTGGCCTAAGTTTATCACTGACAAATAAACTCCTGAAATAAAATTACTTTCTAATTTGATGGCATTCTGGTTATCTTGGTCTTCTATGACTTGCCTTTTATTCAAAGATCCAGTTTAAATTATTTTAAAAATCCTTTAGTTAATTTTATAGGAAGAATAGTATATCTATTAATCATCATAACACCTATGCATACTTAACAGAAGGTTACAATAATGCAATTAACAAAGGCAGGTAAGCGATAAGGTGAAATGTGAATGAAAACTAGAACGTCTCGCTCTTTTATTCACTTTTGCAGTTATAAGTCTGCCCCCAACCAACATTTTATCATAAAAACTTCTAAACATATGGAAAAATGGAAAGGATAAGGGAGGAAAATGCAGAAACAACAGGGCTCCCTCAGGTTTGGGCATGTGGCTCAATCAGACTTTGTGGTACAGTATACTTTAGGTTCCTGGTCCAGCTCGGAGCTCGCAGACATCCTAGAAATGAGGAGGCTGCTTTTGACGCTTACGAATGGGGCTACTGTCACGGTCCTGGAAAGCCTTAAGGTACAGAAATGGCCAAAAAGGAGTTGATGTTTAAACACAGAACAGATATCTAGTTATCATATGAATTGACAGCAATATGAAAGGCAACAGTGCACAGCATTTAAAAAGTGCTCTTTTAACAGGAAAAGTGCTTTGTTTTTAAAACTAAAGAGATGTTTTGTGCTGTTTGACTAAAAGAAAGCAATTAAAATAGGAACACACAAATAAAAATTAACATAGTAAGTAGAGGTATTTGAATGTACCTGGACCATGGCTATTTCATTGGTGACAAGACCATAGCGGATAACAATGTTACATTCTTTAATATCCAGACCTTCTTCTGCCACTGTGGTAGCTATAAGCAGATTTATTTTTCCAGTGCGAAATTTACTAATGACTTCTTTTTGTTCATTCTGCAGAAACATTTTAATAAATTAAATTTTGTGATGCTAAACACATTAAAATCTTCTAATTAGGAGAAGAAATAATAAATTGCAACTGGTCAGTGTAAATCAAAGGATTAGATCATACATGGATTTGTTGCCATCTGTTTTTGGCATTGAACAAAGAAATAATGGTGAGACAACATTTGATTTCCAATCTGGGATTACCACACAATTAGAAAAATATTTCCATCATCCAGTCTGGAGGTGGAAAGACCATTTTTTCATGCCAAGGAAATAAATTGATGGGTGACTCCAGAGGAAGGAAGGAGGAGCTGTCAGTTGAGAAGAGGATATGACAATCAGAAGCTAAAATGGACATTTTCCCTCCATTATATTAACTTCAGAATCTCTAATATTCAGAGGATAAGATGCAGAGATGCTCTTACATATTGTTTTCAGTCACAGAGAAAATGCACACTGTATATTCATTTGGTCACTTTAAGAGTCATTTGAGTGAGAAGCTATGGAATATTCCTAAAAGAGTACAAGAGAAAATGAAAACATCGGCTTCATCTAGGGAGGGGAGCTGGAAGACTAGAGGTCTAAAGGTATGCCTTGTGCTTTATTAATTTTGAATGAGGTAAATATATTATATAGATAAAGGGATAATACAAATAAAAATAAGAGGTTATACAACTATAATTAAAAGTATTTTCAAATGAAAACAATCTAAATTTTGAAAGTCAATATAAATAAATTAAAATATCCCCTTCTCATCCTTATGTGGGAGGAATGAATGAGAAGAAACCTAGCTTGATATGGACAATGTGGTTTTATTTTCATAACCACTCTCACCAAAGCTGTTGGTCCAGTTGGCATTTGATGCACATCCATACTGTCTTTTGCCCCCATACATTAAACAAAAATAAAGCTGCCAGACCAAAAGTATGTTCTTCTATCCCCCTCCCTTTCTTCTCAGAGGGAGTGTGAGTCCTTATTTGACTCCTAACTGTCGGAGAACCCTGTAGAAAGGCCTCTCTTGAGTCCTCTCTGAAAATTTGTCCCTGCTGTCCTCACTTCTCCCGATAAAAAATGACATGTCCTTGGATTTTAGCAGAAGATGTCTGTGTCTTAATTCAACGAAGTAACTTTAATGACAAAAATTCCGGACAGTATCAGAGGTTCAAGTCACATCATGTAGCTGCCTAACACCATTGCTAAAAAATTTGTTCACCCCAGTTTACAAGCGGAGGATGCAAGGAGTGGGAAAGGAAGGAAATATGTTCTGTATTTTGGCATACAACCCCTAGGTTTGAAAATGAATAAGGAGCAGAAAGTAGCTTGAACATAGGCTTTTCATTTGTACTCTACCTTTTTTCAAAGAGAAGCTGAGCCCTTTTACAGTAAAAGTCATAATGCTAATGCTAATATAATATAAATTTATAAACAGAACTCATAAGAATCAACATAGAGGCTGTGAAATTGAACTTGAGTTTTGCCTGGTAGCTTTCTGGAAGCTAAGACAAAAAGAAAAACATGTTAAGCAAACTATATCTCATAAAAAAGAAGGAAGCAAACTTGTTTTCCAAGGAAAACCGTGCTTTGTCCAGCATTAATTTTATTGGCAATGCTCACATGAGTGCATGAAGAGAGTATAGAGAGTTATAGTAAACCATTTCAAGAATTTTTTTCAGAAAACACTGAAACAGAATTTGCTCCATTGGCTTGAATAGTGATGACTATAATAGAAAGGAAGTATCCATTTGTCCAGCAAGACTCAGGGTCAATATGACTTTAGCCCTCAGAAGAATATTTTACTCTACCAAGACACGATTGCTTCATGCATACTTGTAATGTCTACACAAGTCTTTTTTCTTATCTAAATGTTTTCTACTGTGTCCACAGTAAGCCGTATGTAAACAAAATAAAACAAAACACCTTAAAAAGGAACAGAAAACCTACTCATCAGAATCCCAAATCTCTAATGTATCAAATTCTTTAATTTTTCCAAGTTTTCCTATACCTCTCATTCTAGGTAAACATATTTTGCATAGTTCTAGTTACAATGCACATATTTTTGTGGGAGTTTGAATTTTACACTTGATACTATATTGCAACCACTTCTAAACTTTGTTATTAAGTTCACATGTCACTCATTTTTGCAAGGGAAATTTAACTTAGAAGGTTCTTCAAACTATGTAGGAAAAAAGTGACTCCTAAAGCAACACTTAACCTCTCAAAAACCACAAATTTGATTGCAATTAGACTTAGATTTTATTTCAAAAACAAGTGTTTTATCCTGTAATCGCATTTGTGGGTGGTGAGAGGATTGATAGAAAAAGACTAAAAACATTTGAGAAGAGTAATAAAAGCATTAAAAAAGAAGTCCAGGCTGAGTGCAGTGGTTCATGCCTGTAATCTCAACACTTAGGAAGGCAGAGGCAGAAGGATGGCTTGAGCCCAGAAGTTTAAGACAAGCCTGGCAAACATAGTGGGACAACTTTTCTACAAAAAAAGAAAGAAGAAAGAAAAAGATAAATAAAGAAAGAAAGAAATAAACATAGAAAGAAAGAAAGATAGAAAGAAAGAAAGAAAGAAAGAAATGAAAGGAAAGAAAGAAAAGAAAATTAGCTGGGTGTGGTGGTGCACACCTATAGTCCCAGCTGCTTGGGAGGCTGAGGCTGGAGGATTGCTTGAGCCTAGGAGGTGAGTCTTGATCATGCCACTGCACTTCAGCCTGAGTGACAGAGCAAGGCCTTGTCTGAAAGAAAAGAAAAGAAGAGAAAAGAAAGGAAAAGCAATCCAAAAGGATATTTATACCTGCGTCATGGGTTTGAACTCACTGCTATGTCCAGCTCCAATCAGATGGTGGGCTTTGACTCCTACTTGAGCAAATTTTTCATTTTCAGTAATCCACTGGGAAAGAGCATATGCACTCTGTCGTGTTTTTGTAAAGATTATTCCTCGTGCTGATCCCTCAGTCCTAGTATATTGCTCCATTATGGTATTTCTTAATTTGGCCAGCTTTTCATTTTCATGTTCTGGGTTTTCAGCCAGGTTTTTCAACATTTTATTGTTTTCTTTAAGAAATAATTACAATTAATATGTTACCTAGCTTGATGTAGCCATTCTATATGTATACATATATCAAACATCATTTTGTACACAAAAAAGATACAGTTTTGTTGATCAAAATTTAATGAATTAATTTAAAAATGAATCAAAGTTTAAATTAGTGAAACATACAACTAATTACACTAGAAGATTTCATGAATTGTGGCTCATCTACAAATTGTGCTATATCTGACAATTAGGATGGTTTAATAAATAAACTCATTACAATTGTCTTGACAATGCAACTGAATGACCAAATGACTGACTGTGATCATACTACTGGTAACTAATCTGGTCATATCATTAGAAATAGCTCCCATCTGAGTGGGATTTCTTTTTTCAAAAGAAATTTCTATTTTTGAAGAGCTTATGAGAAGCAGTAGGTTCATGTTGAAAAGGTAAATGAATGAGACCAGTACATATTACTTTGAATCTTACCAAAAAATAAAGTCATGAGAAATCTCTCTGTTTTATCCAGTTTCCAAGGTTTCTTTAAATCATCCTCATGTTCATCGCGATCACAATACTCATCATCACCACCCTCATCACTATCGTCTTCTAGGACTGCAAACTTCTTTTCTTTCTCTTCATTATAGAAAGTTTCAAGATGATTATAAGCATCTATCATTCGAATTGTGTCATTAATTTGTAGAGCCTCATTGTACTTCCTCAAATGCTCTGCACAAACACGGTCCTTGCGATTTCCTTCTTTTGCAGCTGTGAAAAAAATGTATGATGTAATTTGAATGATAAGCATATAACCTCCCTAAAATAGTGCCAAGGACTTGAATATATTTATGTTACTAACTCCAAAATTGGCTTCACCTTGGGTTTAAAATGGGCAAGTTAAGGCTCAAAATACGTTATGGGCTCTGAAACAGGGCAAGTTTTCCCACTCCTTGACTTGCTGCTTGAGTTCTGCCTCAGCAAAAATACGTAGCTGATGCACGGAGAAATGGCATGAAAATATATTAGTTGAGTTTGCCTTTGGAGACAGAGCTATTAATATTTATCTCAATACCTTAAATATACAATAAATATGAGACTCTGGAGACAAAGTGAAAATTGGATAGTTTTGGAATCTCTTTCCTTAGAAAAGGAATTAGAACATGTTTATTATGCTTGTCCTACACAGAACACAGAAATTTTATTTGGAACTATATTTGCTTTCAATTTTTTGGGGAATCTATGATATACTCATTTGAATCTTGGAATAAACATAGGATAAACTAAGTGTTAGGTTCAAATCTAAATTACCTTTTTTTTCCATTTGAACGGCCCATTGTTCATAGGGTTGAGTTCCAAAATCTGGCATTGGACTCATTTGACAATAAGTTTGAATTGTTGTCATTATTTCTAGAAGTTTCTCTTTAAATGGATCCTTAAAAATAAAATATACACTTATTCTTATGTATTCTTATTGTTAAAGGAATAACGTTATCTTTGTTAAAATGAGTTCCAGGCTATAATAAATCTGATTCAGAATCTTTGTTTAGACAACGTTAACAGGTTAGTGTCCCATCACTTGTCTGTACATTTACTTTTGTCAACTTCTCTTTTAAGTCTGTCATCAAGCCACACCCACACCAACACCACGTTACCTCTGCTGGAATCTCCAACTTAAAAGGATGGCGAAAGTAAAGCTAATGAATAACATAAACCTTGTATGTTAAAGGTAGTTCAGAAAACACATATTGCTTTAATGCCACCATTATTTAGAAAGCTTACAATGTAACTTAAGAAACATTTACCCTTTGTCAAACTGGTTTCAGTAGTATTTCTGCTAAAACAAAAAGTTGAAGTACAGTCTGAAAAAAAAGTCAGAAATAAAGGAATGCATGCCATATGATTCCATTTATATAAAGTTCAGAATCAGTGAAAACTCATTTTTTGTTTTGGAAGTCAAGATAGTAGTTATTCCTGGGGTATGATAACTGCAAGGGGAACCAGAAGATTTGGAGTACTGGCAATGTGCTGTCTCTTGATTTGAATTTTGTTTACATATGTGTATTCAGTTTATGAAAATTCAGCAATCAGTACACACACGAATTTGTATTTTTCTGTATGTATATTATACTTCAAAGTATATCAAAAAGTTAAGTAAGTTTAAAAAATGGCAAATACTTTTAAAAATATATCCTGAGAAATGTAGTTTTAAAAATCCTTATGTGTAGAAATACAAATTTAAATCTATCAAGTAAAACCAAATAAGTAAAAAAGGGAAAGTGAATAAAATGTATTCAACTCTGCTAGTGCAGCTGGAATAGATAGCAGTCTTCTTCAGAATTAAAAAAAGAGATATATGGAGGCTGGTTACTAACATTGGTTTAGTGCCTACTATATTTCAAGCATTGCTTTCTCTATTATGCATATTTCATATTATTTAATCCCAACATTCTTGTTTCCAATGGTATTATCAAGTACATATGACCAGAATTTGTAGTCCTTTCTAAATTTAACAAAATAAAGCATTGACATAATTTACTGGTCATAATGTCCAAACTGACTCTCAGTTTACTTTTATAATTACTGAAAAATTCATCAAAAAGGCATCATTAAAGTAAATATTTCACTTCTTTACCATTGCACTGTTTTCCTGAGGAAGTAAATATGCAAGTATGCAAATTAGGTAGGATTCCCATTATCATTGCCAAATGTAATTTGATATCAACAAAATGGTTCTGCGGAATGTCATCAAATCAATCTTGGAATACACCAAGAAGATTAAAAAGCCTAAAATGAACTGTCGTAACACCTTCAGCTTAGTTATACATCCCCCTGCCCATCGTCCCCGACTATCCCTCATAACTCATGTGTAGCCAAACAGTGAATGAGCTATTCCTAATGTAAATTAGAAAACTGAAAGAGGACTGGAGAAGAGAATTCACTGTAGTGTTTTGCTGCCAAATATCAGTTTTTTTTTGGAAAAAACCCTGTAATTTGTTTGCTAAAATGGAAAAATAATATTATTCAGATGGTCAATATAAAATAGGCTTAGCCATCTTTCAACTGAATGGGTAGTATTGCCAATGAAATAGATATAGAACATTAAGCCCATACTTCTCTGGTGTTATCTGCAATTGCAAACTTCTTGCATGGCTCCTGTATTTGGTTTTTCAGTTGATCAAGGTTTTCTTCAACAGTTTTAATAGTAAATGCATCAAGACTGGCACATAGCTGAAAAAGACACATTTTTAATATTTATGCAATTATTTTTTCCTTTCACTTTATTCAGTGTAGAATTATTTTTCATGTAAAAAATATGTAGCATTAAATTGTATCATAAATACATAGCATAAAATTTCATGAAAGTAATATACAGCATTTTAACATTGTCTTATTATGGATTTCATTAACCAACAATTGATAACATTTGTCTTAATATAGGGAAAAAGAGCTTCTAAATTAAGTTGGTGGATTATTCCAGGGAAAATGAAGTATTTATTTTCATTTCTTAAATTCCATTTTCCAGGTGGAAAGGTGATATGGAAAGAGTATAACAGTTTGCCGTCATTGACAGAGAATGATTTTGAGATAACTATGTTACATAGGCAGGCATATCAAAGGTCATCTTAACATCTATGGATTATACTACCACCTTCTACACATAAAGCAGGCAATACAAAGCTGGGCGATCCTTAGCCATGTGCCTGGATTATTAGCTTAACATTAGCCCTTAATCCTAGTAATAAATTATATTTTGGAGCCTATAATTGCATCTCAGAATGTGGTGTCTACTCTATAAGCAAGGGACTTAAAATTCAAATGCAAGTGCCTTGGTACGAAAATACTTCTTGGGCTACTCTGATTTATTTAACACTCAAGATCAACAGTAGCACTGTATGTGGTGTTACCATTTTGGGGCAGCTGATGAGCTCATCTTTAAAGATCTTCATATCCCTATTTCCCTTTAATTTTAATTACCTAGATTTCTAGAATCACATGTGAAAGACAGAAAACATGCAGTTTTGAAACTCATGGAATAAAACTTTATTATGTGTGACAACTAAAAACTTTCATAGTTTATGAATATTTCTATATCAAGTAGATCATTAAGTTTAACTATAAGGGTAGATGTTCAAAAGAAGGCATCCTATTTGTCTAAACTTCCCATTAATTACATTACTATCCATCATTTTTATGATGTTTGTGTTTTTGCAATGTATTAAGACATATTACTATTTTATAAAAGGCTGAGTATATTTATTGTACTAAAGCGAACAGATTTCACTTAACTTATGATCAGGGCACTTGAACTCAAACTTATTTAGCAAGATCAAGAGGTACTGGCATTTGTTTTAGCTTTGCTCTCATTGGTTACACATAAAATTATGACTTACTTTTAAAATGTGTTCTTCAGCTTTGGCTTGCTTTCTGGCCCCTCCAACACCAGGTGAAGCTGTTAGTCCCAGTATCTGAGGAAGGGGAATCACTGATTGGTTTTCTTTCTTGAGTTTAATGTTTTTCAGCTTCTGCTTCAAATAACGCCTCATGATGTTATTGTAGACTTCTTCTTTGTTAGTGTGATGACATTCATCAATGATAATCAGAGAAAAGTCTTAAAAGAAAATTCAAAGCGTTAATTTCTCCAGCATACTACAGTAAGCAAACAGCTTTAGACCAGTGAATTGAGCTGCCTTGTGGATGCCCTTTCTTGGGCAGGACACAAGAGCAGCCCACTTCCAGTTTTCAGGAGGGAAATCTAACTGTACTAGCACCTATACACACAGAAGTTCATACATACTAATCATGAAATTCCCTGTTACACATTCTCCTTCTTTAATAGATGAGATTCATAAAGTTTATAGAACTAAGAAGTGTTAGGTGTGGAATTCACACCCGGGTTTACTACAAATCAAATCTCAGGATTATACTTTTGCTTTAATAAAATATTTAATTTTAGGTTGGTGAATTTTAATTACATCAAGTAAAAATGACACTATGTTAAAAGAGAAAAATGTGCCTTGTTTTAACATTGCATTTAGTTGTTATAAATTATTTTTACTTCTTTCCCGTTCTTTCTCCTACCTTCTCATCCTATCCCCACAAAAGACAAGGTTTGTATTTTTATTCCATGGGAAAGGGAAGAAAATCTAACAACATTCACTAGCAAATAAAAGAACTTGTCAGAATAAATGGAAAGTCCAGTGAGTGCTTGCTTTAATAATCGTATTCTTATGCAGAATAAAATGGTCTAACTAAAAACTTACATTTTTTGTTTCCTCCAGGAAGTAGAAGGATTTTAATAAAACCATAAGCAAGAAAAGACCATTTAAACCAAAGTAAATTTTTATAAACAATTAAAAATTAATTAACAAATACAACCTGTGTTATCATTAATATTACTATTAATTAAAAAAAAATAAACACTTCAACTGACCTGACAATTGAACACCAGCATCTTCTCCATTTTCCAAGTTTAAGAGGGAGTTTTCAAGGATTTGAGCTGTACTGATAATAATATCACAGGACTTGACAACTTCTGGAAATGATATTTTCAGTTGGGTATCACCACTTAGTCCAATAACACGATACCATTTCTTCAAAAATGGTTTGAACTCTTTGTGGAAGAGCTGTTCAACTAACAGTACCTTAAAAAAAAAAGTGAAGGTTTTTTTAAAAAGAGAAAGTTAGTCAAAGTCAAAGGAGTATTAATCAAAGGCTTATTCTGTGTTCAGCATTAAAAGAGGTGCTTACGTTATCAGTGAATCAGGCGTAACAACTTACCCATCAGTCCTTTCATTCATCTCTCAATAAGCATTTATTATAGGCTTGTTAGGTGTAGGCATTTTTGTCTGGGACACAAAGATGTTTAAGACTGATTGACAACTTTGGGGAACTCTGTCTAGATGAGCATACAGACCAAAACTAAACAACATAAGACAAATTATTACAACACAATGTAATTATGCTCCCCTAGAAACACACACTAAGTGACAGTTAAGAGAAGATGCAACTAAAAAAACCCGAGGAATTGGAAGGAATTTGAATCTAGTAAGCCTTGAGTCAGTGAAAAGATAAACTGAAGCTAAGGTTGAATAAGAAATACTTTGTTTAATTTGTAGAGCAGGGCCAGGTTATAAACGGCTGTAAACATCAAGCAGAGTATTTTACATTTAGTATAACAGTTTACAGGCTCTCTACCAGTTGTACTGTTGAAGTGATTTATTTCTGTTGTTTGTTTTTGGATTAGACTAGAAGCAGCAGGAACACAGGATTGGAAGAAGCAGGGAACCACAATGAGGAGTTAGGACATTGATCCTAGTGGAGAATAGATGTGAAGTGAAGAAATGAACCGCTGGAATAGCTGTGGTGGCTGAGCAAGAACAAAACTGCAAGTAGACTTGGCAAAAGAAGTGGAAACTTCTGGTACTTGTCAGCTGATTCTGTATGTTGTTACATCTGCTAAAGGTAGGTGGTTTGACACCTGAATGCCACACATTACTAGTCACTCAAACTGCCTTCTGCATTAGGGGGAAAAATATCAGGCACTCTTGAAGGTCATATCCTAGAAAGATTTATGCAATAGAAGCCCAGCAGTGTTAGGATGGCAAATAGAGAGTTGGTAGGAAGAGTTTCAAGGACAAACTTCAAAGAATGCACATTATATTTTTTATTCTCCGTAATTCTACCTGAAATGCAATCAGTGGTTACCTTTTCCTAAGTCTGTAGAGTTTGTGTTTTTCATCTTTTTACTTGAGGAAAGCCCCACTTAGGTGTTAAATAAGGAATGGCTGATCCCCCTGGCTAAGGGGAACATCTTATGAAGAATACTGGTTTACATTATTATTTAGTGGAAATGATGGAGGCTTTGAAAAGTAGATGTCTCTGTGGAGTGGAAGAAAGAGTGGGGAAGAGTTAAAATGAAATCCACGAATTCCAAGGAAGCAAAGTGGACTTAAAATCAATAATGAAGTTGGTGAGTGAAAGGACATTACCTTATCACAAGGTGGAAAGGGTAGAAAGTGTAAGAGGAGAAACTTTCATTTAGTTTAGTTTAGTTTTTTTTTTTTTAACTGAAGTCTCTCTGATCTGCCTGTTATGAAATCACTTGAGAAGTTTGAAAAATACAGACTCCTGAATGGCACTCAAAAATTACTTAATCTAGGGACCATCTCTGGAGACAGAGGCTTGAAATCTTCACTTTAATGACATTTAAGCCTTTGAAATTTGAAAGCCACAGCTTTGCTCTTTTCTTTTCCACAAAGCCATTCCTGAATCATTTTCTGGAAGTATTCTTTCCATTCCATTTATGCAAGACAGAAGGATTCTGTGGAAAAGAGTGGAAATTAAGTGTAGTCAAAAGAGATAGCATGATGCGAAAGGAAGAAAGCTCTGAAAACAGCTACTCCAGCTACTTAATCCTTGTGTACCTTGGACAAGGTCTGAATCATCTTAATGCTCTCAATATCCAGATTAATGAAATGAGGATAATGTTAACCTATTATAGGGTTGTGAAAATTAAACGAAATAGAGGATGCCATCTTGTCAGTACTAAAAGTTCCCTGATATTTCACCCATCCTTTTATTCTAGAAGCAGAGTGCAGTGGCAAGGGAAGACCAGTTGACTCAAAAGATAAAAGGCCAAGTCTCATTTTTGCTGTTTCTTGGCTGGATGATCCCTGAATTGCCAATTAAAAGCTTGGAGCTTCAGTTTTCTGATGGGAGAAATTGGAATAATAATAATGACTACCTTATTGGGTAGCTGTGTCAGTTTAATGAGATAATATATCTGAGAGTGCTTTATAAAGTGCAATAAAATATTAATTATCAACATTTATCTCTCATCTCTCTTCTAGACTGTATATTCCTTGAGGACAAGATCCGCACTTGATTTGTCTTTAAATATACTCCTGCTGAATGATTTAATTAAGAATCTCTGTATTATGGAGTGGCATCGCACCACAAAATTCTGCCCATAAAAGGTGAGTCAAAAATCTTCAAAGGCGGCAGCACACTCTGATGTGCAGAACAAGAAGTTGTCACAGCAGATAGCAGGTGCTAGAAATCCTGATACTCGCTCTGGGTGGTGTAGACTTCCTACTGGAGGACACAGAGAAAGCCAGATGCAAGTCTGACATGGCTAATTGGGAGGTGTGTGGTCCTCTTGGAGCCTTTTCTTGAGATGTGACAGAGTGCCTGCCAAGACTAATCAAACCCAACTGCTACCCACTTCTGCTGAATCATATGGGGCTGCATTGCAGCATCTGAAGGAACCTGGGATTTATCTCTCATGATGTTGAAGCCCTAGATAGGAAATGGAAAGTCTGGGAACACAGGTGGTGTTTTCATTTCTCTCTGCATTCGAAGGCTATAACTTTGGAAAGGACGGAGGAAGGGAAATGAAAGTAAATGGTGTTAGAGAACAGGATGTATCTTTTCTAGATCAAGGGTAACAATACCTTCTTATTGGGCCAGACACAGGATTCAGCTTATGCAGACTTACCGGGACAGAGGTGCTCTGACTCAGTCAAAAATAATTAAAGCTAAAATTAATTATTAAAAAAATGGTATAGTAAACAATTATGACACAGATGAAACAATTAGTAGATGAGTTCCTAGTAATTCTAAGGAAAAAAACAGTAGAAAAGCAGATAAGGGATTAGAGTCAAGTCCCCAAATGTTGACCCAACAATGCAGTGACTGTTGAATAATTAATGAAGATAAATTAATATTTAAATGTAGCCATAAATGTGCATTCATAAGAATCACCTAGATCCAGTGCAATGAAAGATTCCTGGCTAGAATCTAGCATCGAGAGAAGAGAATATTATAGAAAGGAAGATGCATTAGACACATACATAATATAAGACTTGAAAAGATCAATATTTATAATATAAATCAAAGTATTTGAATTTAGGCTCAATAATTGGCTACAAAAAAATAAATGAAGAGTGTTCTAGTGTAAGAGATTTTCAAATAAAAAGGAACTGAGGAATTTGAGTTTATGACAAGGTCCAGATAAGTCTGAGGATGCCAGAGGCAAAAGTGGTCATGAGCTGGGTGTCACATTTCATCTCTCCTGCTTTCTGCACTGATAAGATCTCATCTATAGTATTTTGTCTGGCTCTGGACACCACATTTAAGAGTGTCCTAGAAAAATGTCTGAAAGAGTATGAGCACTAGGAGTGATGACAGGTTTAGAAACCATGTTATATGGAAAACAGTTAAAAGAACTGTAGACATTTATTCCCAGGGACCAAAATCAACATAACTTAGAAGCTACGTGATGCTGCCTTGTCTATGTGCAGGGCTGTCCTTAGGCTGGAGAATTAAGACTTCATGTGGTTGCAGAGGAAGGAACTCTAACAAGTGACTGTGGGATTCCAAAGAAACCGATTTGGATGAATACAAGCAGGGCTTTCTAACAGTGTCAGTGGTTCAAATAATGGCTGGGGCTGTCTTGTTAGAAGGATAACTTCCTTAATATTAGGAAGTTATCCAGCAGAAGTGAGGAACCACTCTGCAAAGGAAGAAAACTGGATCTCGAAGCCCCCTTTCAACTCTAGAAGCCTATAACCCTATAACCGGATAAGGGAAATAAAGGAAGTAGATGAATTAAAACTAACTCCTAGGTGTGGGGACCGCAGGCTTTGGAGGGGGTGGTATTACTAACAAAGAAACAGGTAAATGGAGAAGAAGAGCCTTTGGGAAGGTAGATGGTGAGGCTGAGTTTGAGAAAATGGTGGATGGTCAAATGGTTTCAAAATCATTAGCTTACGTAGCTTTGAATCCAGTTAACTTGGTTCTTTTCTCTGGATTTGGCAATTAAAAGCCTGTTCTCTATGTTATCCAGTTTCATGAGTTATGAAGGTGAAGAGGAAGGAGCAAAAGAAAGCTGGTATTTAAGAGTGGGAGAAAGAGTGATTGCTAGGCCGTATATAATCCAACTGAAATTTCAGAGCAGGGTAGTTATTATTTTGTTCATTTTAAAGATGAAGAAATTAAAGTTAGAATTAACTTTAATCAAACTACCAGCAGGTAAAAATAGTATTCAAACCTATTTCATTTTAAAAAATAATATCCTGTACAAAGGGAATATATGCAGGGCTATGGGCAAACAAATTTGAATGTGTTACCATTACCAGCAAAATAAATATAAGTGTTTTAATAGTGAGTATACAAGTATAAAGGAGAGCTCTTTATACTTAGCAGATGCACACAAAATGCATTTGGAACTACATGATAGGAACCAGTCAAATTATGGATTCTAAGTACTGAAAACAGGATGTAACTAAAACTTCTAGCATAATAGAAATAAAAAATAGAATATTTTACAGTCTACTATTTTTTTTGTATAGGAAAAGATGAGAATGGAAAAAAAGACTTTCTGATTGAGGAAAAGTATACTCATTTTTATACCATAAAATAGTAAATATTCATATCCCCAATTTATATATTTATAAATTAATAAACTCTAATTTATCTGAATAAAGCTCAAATAAATTGATTTTGTTATATAGTGAAGCAGAAAGACTTATTTATGAAGATGACCTTCAAATACCCTAAGATACAAATTATTGAAGAAAAACCTCAGTTGCATTTAATGTAATATGTGCATATATAATACATATACTTCTTGAGCATTTTAAAATCTATTTAACTTGATGTAGATATCAAACATTCACTGAATTTTTTCTTTATCTCCAAATCACATTATATGTATTCTGGATAAAGAGGACTTGCCATCTTTGACTAAGGGTCAACAGCTAAAGAGGAAGTAAAAAACAATATTTGATCCTTGATTCCAGTGATATTTTGGGGTCATTCATTTTCATATGCAATGATAAATTAGCCAATTAACCTTAAATATAACCTGTGACCAGATAAGGGGAATAAAGGAAGTAGATGAATCAAAACTAACTCCTAAGTTTTGGGGCTACATAATTTACAGCTATTTGGTAAAATGTCCTAGTTTTATTAGAAATTTTTTATTTTCAGGTTCATCACTTAGATATTACACATACCTTAAAAAAGATTAAAAATAAAATAAACAGCTTATTTTGACATTACTCTTAATTAAACTAAATCTGTGTGAGTCATTGCCACAATTGCCATCATAGGAATGTTTAAGAATGATATAATGAAAATGAACAACTAATGTTATATGTTCTTTGAATACCTTATTAACAAGAACTATAACTTTTCCAGACTCAGATGCTTTTTTCTTCTTGTCTAAGTGATCCTTGGCAATGTAAACGGCCACTCTGGTTTTTCCACTTCCTGTAGGAAGGCAGATGATGATATTCTTCCCTTCCAAGGCTGGTTGGGCAACTTCCATTTGGTAAGGCCTGAGTTGGAGTTCTGGCTCGGGGGATACTCTTGCTGCCACATTGTCTTCATCTGAAGAAGGTTGAAAAGGAAAATAAGAGAAGGGACAACAAAATAACAGAGTTTAAAAGGCTGAAACTGAAACTGAACATAGGCTTCTTATACTTTAAACTCCTTTTCACATGTAGTCCAACCCATTTTCTCTTTTCTGTACCAATGAATGTCTGCTCTCTGCATTTGCAGAATAGAACCCAGGCTCCCTGTCACAGAAGGGGCCTAAGGGTGTGGGGGTGAAGAGGAAGTCGGCTGAATAGAGGACTAGGAAGGGCCACCGTGGGGGAGTGTTTTCGCAGAGTGAGTGAATTTGTGGAAAGGGCTGTGGTGCGGGATTGGCAGGTATGGTTGTGAAGGTGTAAGACTTCCCATTTCTTTGTTGAGCCATTATTCCCTGTTTGTTTCACTTAGACCTACCACCTACAAAATCAAGAGGAACTGAGAAAGTAGAAATCATTAGTCTTCTTTGTTCTGTATTTCCCCTTATTTTTTATTACAAAGAAGGTATGACTGCTGATACTATCTTCTTTCATTTATAGAAATTTTATCTGACAAACAAATACCAAAAAGCACACACACACATGCGTACATGCACACACACACACACACACTCACACTCACACACACACACACTCACACACACACACGCAATCTATCTCAATTTCCTTTTTCCATCTGAGGCAACCAGGTTGTACAGAAGTGATATTTAGGGAGTAGGGAAAAAACTCTTCCTATGCTAGCCTTTAATTGGTAGGTTTTCCTTAAAAGATAAAAAATAATTGTGTTGGTTTAAGCTAAATTATGACTAATTTTGCCATCTAGTTGTGAATCGTGATCTTTATTACTTCCTTATGTATATGGCTCCACATATTCCTACTTTTTCTAAAATCCAAAGTATAATATATTGAAAATATTTTCAATTAAAATGGATTCTAAAATTTAAAACGCTGATTAAGTACTAACATACATTTAGGGACATTAAAATAAGATTATTATAACATGTCTTGTTTTAGATATAATATATTTTATTTAGAAATGACCATATTGAACTATATTAGCCAGGGGAAAAGGATCTAAAATTCATAGCTTATAATGTGAAATGAAGTAAAATAAATATTATTCCAATTTAAAATTCCACCTTATGCCTTACATAATCATAAGAAAAAATTAAATAACAGTATCTATCAGTACTTCATCACACATGAAGTAACTGTTCTTTTTCTTATCAATGATTGCAATGAAACTAAACTAACATAATCCCATTAACTTCAAAAAACTTGCTGATGGCTCCATTTCAGCCACTGGGTAATTCTATTTGAGTGGGTTTTAACTTGTTGTGATAGGTAGAAAAATTCACACCAAATACCACTTAGAATTATCTACTAACCTGGCAGGAAATTTGCCTTCTGTATGGATGAGTAAAAACAGATGAAATACATTTAAGCTATCATTGGATCATCTGCTGATTCATTTAATATGATTTTTATGAAAAACTCATTTAAAATCACCAGCATTTAAAATAAACCTTTATAAGTATCCTTTCCAAGCTTGTTTTGAACTCTACAGTATTTACAATGATTCACGTTGTATTATGTTTATGTAAGAAGGCTCTGATTTATTTAAAAACAATGTTACCCCTCTGTAGCTTTCATAGGCTGTCAAAACCCTGATATTTCACCTGTATTAAGATAATTTATCACCCAACTTTCCCAAAAGAGCCAGTATATTTGTAAAGGAAGATGCATTAGAAATTGTCTAAACAAAGATCCAGAAATTTACTACTGCTAAATTCTTATTTGATCTAGGAAGTTTGTTAAAATATAACAATAAATCCTCTTTGTTTAATTTCATCTGAGGTACATTTTTGCATAGATTTTAAGAATACTAATAAAATGCTGCTTCCCTCATAATAGTTGCAGAATAAACTATTAAAGGAGTACATTTTAATAATAATTTCCCCCATTTTCCATGCTTACTACTATATCCTTGGCTAAGAAATATTAAAAAGAGAAACATAATAGCGATTTCCTAAGTCCCTTTCCCAAGAATCTAGAACCAAAACAAATGAGTAAAATATCAATATTACTCATGCATTTGAATTATTTATTATGCTGATACATTTAAGGAGAATTAGAATGTTAAAAGGACTATTGTTTACAATTTAACTTCAGAACCGAAGTCATAGATTTTACTGCTACTTAATTAGGCATGTACCACAAATTTATTCTTCAGTCATTATTGACTGGACACCTATTAAATGCAAGGCACTCACAAGAATACAGTTGTTGTCCTGAAGGACTTCAAAGTCTAGGGCACTATACCACAGTCAGACACACACACAAAATACCTGGTTAGACAGACAGCTCAATAATCCTCCATATTTTTGATTTAAGACTAGGAGATTTGATAGGTGACCCTAAGTTTAAAAAGCAGCACAGTGTGGAGACAGAAAAAATTAGAGTTGGATTCAATGTGAGACTAGCATCCAAAGAAAAAAAGCTGGGTGAGTGCTAAATATTCAGCCTGATTCTTGCCTTATCACATCCTCTGACATAGGGATGGAAGAATTTATCCACAGAAGCAATGAAAAGAGAGTTTTCTCTTCTCTGTCACCAGAAGGAGAGAACTGGGCTGGTATAAATGAGCCAGGAGCCAATTTCTTTTATAAAAGAAGTGTTTGGGTTTTTGTTTGTTTGTTGTTTGTTTGCTTTTGGCTTTCTCTGAAGAGCGTAATCAATTAAACGAAAGTAGCATTTAAAATATGCACAAGCTTTAAATAACACTGTGCCTTCCCTCTACAACAAGTATTGATTAAACATCTTAAAATTAGATTATATCATATAAATGGTCAAAAAAGAAAATCAAATAAGGCTTAAATAATAATATTCTATTGAAACTACACCATGTGGCAAATTTCATTCTCACATTGATTTTGACAGCTGAGTTATTCTTGGAGAGAAAAGGTCTGTCACTGCATGTGTTTGAAATCTACAAAGTATTCCTTTACCTATAGTATATAACCACAGAAAAAGACACCATTCCAGCTGGACAAATATTAATAGGCATTATCTTGAAATAGTAGGGAAACACTTTCTACATAACAGGCCAATGTGTATTGCCAAAAACATTGCCACTTTTTGAGAGGCAGTATATCTTTCTGAAAATGGGAAACAGGAAAAAAAAAGCCTTTCATAATAAAATTAGAATATTTATACTTTAAAAGTACCGGTAATTATGCTTACTATTGCATAACACTTCCACAAAGGAATATAATATGATTGTATTGGGTCACACCTTATGGCCCATACATGGCCTCTGGAGTAGGAGGAAGGACATATAGAATAAAGTCCCTTTTGATGTCAACTTCAAAGATTAAAACATAATTGCACATTCTGTAATACTTTTCAGTGCCTCAATATGTGTTTAACAGTTCACCAATTTATCTAAACCTCCTTTTGAATTGAATTCTATTTTAGCTTACATCAGGCACTTGCGGGTAAGGAATTTCATAATTTTACCATTTCAAAAATTGACTACCCACTATGCAAAGTAATTCTTTGCTCCTAAGTACTGATTCATCTAGAACTTCAAGTGGTGTTCTTTGAAATGTGTTTATCTTCAAAAATGTATTTGCATTTGAAAATGTATTTACTTTTCAAAAGTAGATTGCGTTCAGATTTATCGTGTCTTTCATGCCACATTGAAGGCCAAAAATCAGCAAATACATTTGTTAACAACTCTAAATAGGCAAAATGCCCTGCACATAGAAGGTACACATTAAATATTTATCGAATGAATGGATATCGTTGCAAAGCCCTTACTTAGTCAAATAAAAATCAGGATGATGTCCAAAACCTTACAACAACCTGTAAGAATGATAACTGTTAGTGAGGGTTTCTATTTTGAGTTCTAGCATAGCATGTAATAGAAATGTTAATTATTAAATTGAACAATTTTATGACAAGGATAGAAAAAACAAATATAATACACAGAAATAAGCACATGGCAAGAACTCAATAAACACTGACTGAATTGAACAGAAAATGAATTAACCCTTTTAAATGAAGATTAAAGTTTTGACTGACATTTGGCGAATTGGGTTTCCGCAAACTAATTTGTTCTAAGGGATTCAGGAGTGTCATTGTGAGAAAAGGACATGTGAAAAAAGAGGTGCTACAATCTAATTTGGAAAGCATTTAGGATTGATGACCATCTTTCCATAAACTATTTTGCCCCCTTAGGCCTCTTGGGGGTCTAAATGTTTATAATTCTTCTGACAATGCAGGATAATCTGAATTATTTAATATATTCTTAGGGGAAACAACTTAATCACAAATGAAGAATAAAGTAATTTGTTTCTTAATCTGTCATTTTTCCAATGCTTCTCAGCTGGACCCCTTGCAAAGCATTTTCCTTTTGTTTGTGATTTGTTCATTTTAATTGTGAAATACTTCAAACATATAGACAAATATAGAAAGATATATAATAGACCCCCACTAACCCATCACCTACACTTAATAACGTTAACATTTTAGCTTAGTAATGATCATGGAAATATACACTCAAAGAAAGAAACTATTTGAAATCTATCAGACTAACAAATTAGGAAAGCTGATAACAGGAAGAAGTAATGAAGGTGTGGGGAATTAGGAAGAGGAGCTCTCATTTATTGCTGGTAGAATGTACAACCAATATAGAGAGTAATCTGGTAAAATATTCATTTAGTGACCAAAATATTTTGCTAACTCTACCCCTATTCAAAAGATATTTATATAAATTTTACTTCTTTTACTTTTATATTTAATTTACAGTTAGTCATACTTCCCTTATTGATAGTATTAATTTTTTATTTAAAAATGTATTTGAATTTAAAAAGTAGGGTTTCGAAGTAAGCAAATGTACCAAATTAAATACAGTCAATTAAAATGCAGTCAAATTAATTGAAACAGATCTCATAAATAAAATAGATGACATGACTCTTTGGAAAGTGGCATATGCCAGACCAAAAAGATATGAACTGGATCAAAATTAGAGAGTTTGGTTTTAAGACTTTTGTAAGTTACACTTTTAAAGAAAGTGAATGGCAAAGTTCCAAAACTATTTCACGGTAGAAAAGAATTGCTTTAATTGCATAAATACATTAGGGAGGGTATGAACAGCCCCCATGCTTCCACTATATGGCGTCTTATTTCACACTTTTTAAGGTTTACACAACAGTTAGGCAGTACCTGAATCACTTCCCATGGTGCCTGAATCACTGCCCATGTTGCTGTTATGTCCAAGACTTTCATCTAAGCAGCTGACACTTCCTTCTGCCAAACTTGTGTCTGATTCTGCAAAGGAAAACATTTTAAAATATTTTAAAAATATTTCTGAGAATAAACGTATTTTAACTGCACACCTCTACAGCACACAGTACATACAGTTCAATTCAAGTGGGGAAGGCACACCCAATTATGAATAAAAGGTAAGCACTTCTGGCAGGCTACATTAAAAAAAAAAATCCACTATGGATGAGCAGCTGCTGGGTAGTGATTCAAATACATATTACCTACTTAAAGTACTATACATCCAATATGAGAGCTAATGCACTTTCCTAAGGGTTTATAACTTTTGTTGCCCTTCTACATGTAAATGTTGCCCAAGAAAACAATATTTAGGTTTGATAATGTCTTCTAAACAAAAGTAATACATAGAAACCTTTGAGTTATTTTCATTTAAAATGACAGGGAATTAATAAAGTACAAAAAATTAATAAAGTACCTGGATCTACTGATCAGTTATGAAAATGATAGTTTGGTGCTAAACATAAATGTAAAATATCAAGGAGAGTTTGTTCAAACAGAGTATCATTAAAGCTTGGCATCACAGCTGTTCTAGAAGCTCATGTGAGGTTGGAAATAAATGCTTTTCTTTACTATAATTAGACTAAGCCTCTATCAAAGAGTTATGGTTAGTATGGGTGGATGGCAGTACACACCCTTCATTTATTAATTTCAACATCCTGTTTTCAGTACTCAGGATCAATTCTTTTTGAAAACCTTTTCCTCAAGGGAAGAATTCTTTCCTTACAGTTTATTTCCATACACTTACACAATCTCATCCTCAAGCACCAGAACTATCGTCAAACTGGCAAAAATTAAAAAAAAAAAAATGGTGATTACTAATGTTGGCTTTGGAATCAGAAGGACTTGTGAAATTTGCTATTCTTTTTGCTCTGAACCTAATAAGCTCCCTTTATTTAAAATGAGGCTAATCCCCCTTACCTCACAGCACTTGATAACCTTTAAGTAATATTAGCTACAACAAGCTCTTGGCACAGGGCTTTAATTGCTGGTGATTCAAACATGAAATAAAAATCAAGTGATGATATATTCCTAGGACAGGAGTTCCATTAGATAATGTTCTTCTTATAATAAATAATATTTTATAACATTTATACTTAGATAATTATTTCATCCTAAAGCTCCTTAACACACCAATGAGGTAGCTCTTAGCTATTTAAAACTAGTTTGAGTGTCATATTAAGGGCTGGAAATAAAAATGTATGAAAAGCAGACACATAGTATGTTTTAATAAAACTTCTCTGAAAAGAGACAATATACAACTCCTCAAAACTGCAAATATTTCCTTTTTCCTTAACTAGTTAATTTTTCAAGTCAAATATGTTAAGATACAATTTACTTACTAAAAAAGATTACTCTTTTTATGTTTATAGTTGAGGAGTTTGACAAATGTATACCATTTTGTAACTTTGAAGAATTTTACATATGTAGACAGTTTTGCAACTACCCTCCCGATTGAGATTTCTAGCACCCCAAAAGTCTCCTCAAGCCTCTTTGTAGTAGATCCCTCTGGCTATCCCCTGGCAACCACTGATTTGATTTCTGTTCCAGTAGTTTTTCCTTTTCCAGAATGTCATATGAATGGATTCATGCAATATGTAGCCTTTTATCTTTTTAAACTCAGCTTATAATAATTGCGATTCATCTATGTTGTTGTGTGTATTACTAATCTGTTCCTTTTTATTGCTGACTAGTGTTCCATTGAGAATCTGTGACATTTAAATCTCCCTTCCAATTTGGATAAGCCTATTTATTTTAAGAGTTATAACAGAATTACAGCCAATGCCAATCAAATATGTAAGACATCTTAAAAATTAAAAGCAAGCTGATAAGAAATTTGTAGAAAAATTCTCAATGGACATACATACTGTTTGAGTATATTAGCACAACATAAATATACTAATGTGAAAATACTGTGCTTATTAGTTGTCGCAGATTAGCTCTATAACTCAGATTTGAGGAATCCCTTATGATCATACGGGAAAACCTGTATATCTCACTGAGAGATTCAAAATATGGCACTCTGCAATTCCCAGAGGTATGTCTTGTTAGAAGCTCAGAGGCGAGTGTAGGATAGAACTGTCAAGTAGAAGAGCGTTTTGGGCAGATGTACTGATGAAAAGAGAATATGATTTGTCAGGAAAAGGCAAGGTGTAAAATGAGATGGGGAAAATGTCATTGCAAGAATAATTCTAGATCTAGAAATATAAGCTAAGATTTTTGAGGCACAAAAGTGAATTTGACATGCTTTTCATTTGCTGTTTTAAATGTAGTATTGAGAACCGAAGAGAATACCAAAATTACTAACAAATACCTAAAATCTAAGACTGTATTATTAAATTTTCCAAGTATAAGATAAATGAAAATTATATTTAACTTCCACTTTATTTCCTAATCACCAGTAATTAAACCTTAATCTTAAACCTACTTCATCTACATGTAGAGTCAAGATTTCTCCCAAGCTTTGTTCTAACATCCGTAAGTTTTGGGAGGGAGCTATCTATACAAAGTGCACGAATAATTTATGAATGGTTTTAAAAGTTGCTACCAAAAATAGGGTACTATTAATAAAGTCTATTATCTGGATTATTTTGATCTAACAAACCAATCAGCAATGTGCTAGGAAGACACTGAACTCAGAGCTTTCACAGATGTAATGTAAATTTAATTTTAATCTCTTAGTATCCTATGTGGTAGATACCCATTATTTCCTGTTTCAGGTGAGAAAACAAGGCCCTGAGAGGTTAACTGATATATCGATATCACACAGCTAGAGTGGGGCAGAATCCCCATTTTTGAATCCAAGTGCAATGTTCCAGTGCTTTCCCCCAACACTAAGCATGACTGATGATTGGGGGTGAAGTTCTGTAAACACAGTGTTAAGTGAAATAATAGCTGTGGTGGTGGTGTTTTTTTAACAGCAAGACATTTTCATTGTATTGTCAAATTTTCTATCAGTCTTGAAACAGTTTATATTTCCATGAAAAGAAGTTAGAGAGATGATACTTTGCTAACACTTCTGGTTTCGTTGACAGATATTCACTAACTTTACATTTAAGCATCTATTCTTATTTTAAAACTTTTCTCTGTGCTCAAATAAAAAGAACACCTCTGTCCTTGTTACATAAAATTAATTACAATAGTCCTGTAGAGATGATTATGAAAATGAAAGTGAATATATAGAGCTCAATTTTTTTTTGTCATTTTAAGTGTATATAAATCTTCAGTTTCTCTACACAAAAATAATTTTGTTTCCTAGGCAGCAAATTCTTATGCATTTTGATATATGCTTTCGCTTTCATAGAAATGTAAGTAAAATTTAATAATAAAAGAAAATATATTGTATTTATTGTAACGGAGAATGCCTTCCTCAGAGATTTTCCTCCTGCATTCACTTTAAAAACCACATTACACACAACACACACACACTCCCAAAAAGCGAGATCAAGAAAGTGCTTATGTGATGCCAAAATTAAACCAACCTGAGTTTAAATGCCAATAATTTCTGAAATTGATTTATTTAGGATTATCTTGTTTTGTTCTTTGTATTTTTCAAACTATGTCAGTCTGAATTTAAGCCCTAATGAATAAAATCGTGTGTTTATGATTTCATAAGTAGATTGTATAGAGTCAATTAAAGACAGGCCTTGGCATGAAAAGAACTTGTGCTTTGGAGCCCAACAGATCGCTCTCCAGATCTGAATTCAGCCACTGTGAACAAGCGAATTAACCTCATACTTAAAAAGGTAGAGAGATAGTAGTCTCTATTTTCTCACTTACTGTGAGAATGATTGTTAGACCAAGAAAATGAAACTCTAAGAGAAACAAATTTTAAATTCTCACTAAAGGAGCTTTGAATATTGAAGTTATATTGTATAATAAGTTCAGTTAAGTTTTATATAGGTGTCATTTCCTCTAGGGAAAATAGCAAAGCTAGCTATGAAACAGAGTAGAAGATGGCAGTAATTGAACTGTTAAAGAAAAGCAGTTACTCATATCAAATGCTATTGGAATGAACGGAAATTATAACCATCCAGTTAAGAGAGAGGATTTTCTTTAGAAATTTTGTAAACAACAGAAAAAAGAACAGCTTTGCCTACAAAGAAAGTGTCTAAGACCAGTCCAAAAGCCATGGGAAAAACCTGCCTTATTTTGCAATCACATCTTGAGTATTTTGCTAATAAGGCAGGAATATTAATTGCAATCCAAGAAATTTCATACTTAACACACTCTAGACCCTAAATACTTTAAAATATTTTAAAATCATTTAGAAACCGAAAATATTGAAATTAAAAAAATTTCAAACCAAAAACAACAAAAAAACCCAGGAGGTTGAAGTCCTTTTTAGATCTATTTCAATGTAAAGTCTGCCCTCTGCTGGATAAAGCTAATATAGCAAGTAGTGGACAAGTAGCTAGGTATTCTTTATTCAAAGACCTAAGCTTCATTAGGTAAAATTCAAATTGATTCTTGCTTCTATTCCTACCAGGTAGTGCCCTTCCTATTTTTGGCCTTGAGGCATTTGTCACTCCACAGTGACATTTCCTTTCTTTCCTCTGGCCTCAGTCTGTCACACATTCTTCTTCCCGAGAGTGGTTTTGCATTACAGCAGGAAACAACGTGAGGGGAAAGGGCCGCTGGGCATATTGAGATAGAACAGCACCAACTGCTCCTGTTCTCCTGCGAGTCAGTGTTGACAAGGTCTTTAAATAGTCCAGCTTCACTTTTCATGGTAATTTCATGTTTATTCTAGTTCTGACCTCGTGATGCGTTTTAGCTTCACCTTTGCAGCTATCCCCGCCTTCCCTCCACTTTCATAATCCTCATGCCTAGAACATCCAAGCTACCCCGAAAGCTTGAAACACGTGTGCACATTTGGGCACACACACATAAAGACTGTATGGGCTTCTCAAGTGGGCTTACACTCATACTGCTAATAATATATATTTCCTTTCCTTTTGAAATAACTTAATCTTTTTTGAGAGGAA